AATATCTCTAAAAGACTCTCTATTTATAAAAAGCATATTAAGTAGAATGTAGAATATCTTTAATTTCGAAGATAATTTTTTTATACACTTCAATAGTTCTCTAGTTTATGACTATTCATTTGGTTTTTCAAGAAACATTTATTGATATCTTCTTATTTTTTATTTAACATATTTTCTTATATATCAACGATCAATCAATTTAAATATGATTTGAAAAAAAAATAAAAAGTAGAATATTGAAATTTGTAGTTTATAAATACAACCATTGTAAAGTTACCACACTTTATTTTAAGTGTAGATGCAGAGACTTTCTAAATATAAAATGCCATTTATTTTTAAAAACTAATGCTTAAAAATAAGCTCTAAAGACTCTCCATTTTCACTTCTTAAAATCGAGAGTTGTGTTTGACTCTCCAAATTTGAAGGGTCAAATCTGCCTATATTCTTTATAATGATTACACTTAGCCTATATTTGGTATACCTTAAAAGTTGAAAAAAATTTAAATTAACAATTAATTTTAACCACACATTTCATTAACTTTTATAAAAATATACCAAAGATCTGATTTTTAGTTACACTAAACAGTGTACTTAATAAGTTATGAATTTCAATCCCAAAAATTTCCAAATTATATTTGAATTGATTAGAAATTGATCCATAAGAAATAATGTTGAATAAAATATTATGAGAAATCAATGAACACCTTTTGAAAAAAGCGAAATGAAGAGCCAAAATAGAGAATATTATTGGAGTATAAAAAAAAACTCTCTAAACAAAAATATGCTCTTTATAAATAAAGGGTTTTCTCATTAAACTTATTTTTAAGTTTGACTTTTAAAAAAAAAGTATCATGTATTTTAAAATTTCTTAAAGACGCTCTAATTCAAATTGTGGAGTAAAGTGGCACAATGATCATTATTTCATCTGCTGACTAGATTATTATTTGTTGGGCTGGTTTTGCTGACTTTATCGGGCTGTTTGGGCCGAGTTTTTCAGTTATTTGGTGGCTACTGCCTTATGTGATTAAAAGCGCGTTCTTTGGAGAAATGCGCATTTCTTATTGGATTTGAATAGCCCAAATGTCGCCAAGTGTCGCCCCAGTTTCCATTGGATTGGATGACCTTCTAGAGACTTTCATATTACTCTTCGTTAGAGTTTGGATTAGGATTACTTTTTTATTCTCTCTATCTATATGTCTTCTTCATTTTCTTTCTCACACTCTAAAAAATAGCCGTTTTTTGATCTGATCATTTCAACTTTGTATAGATCTTAAGTGGTTTATATGTGTTGAGAGTTGTGTTCTTGAGTGAACATTTGTATAGATTGAAAGTCTTGTGTTGATGAAATCTAGAGTGATTTTTTCTGAGTGTCGTGAAGTGTATTCTAAACAGTTCATTGATTCTATTTATTATAGTGATTTCTTTCGTGGTAGAAGCTCAAAAGTGGATTAGGAACTACGGTTCTGAACCTCTTGGCTTAGGGAAAAAATCATCGTATTTTTACGTTTTCTTTCAGTCTTTTGTGCTTTACTGTTTTTATATTTGTTGTGTAAAAGTATCTAATATTTTGAACCTTGTCATAAAAGTGGTATCAGAGCGTTAGACGATGGTTATTGGCTCCGATCTACGTAGATCTGAAAGTGATTCAGCTGTTCATTTTATTTCTTGAAACCTAATAAAGGGATCTGGTTAGTTCGTTCTTATTTTACGGTTCAAAGTAAAGATTTGTTGCTTATACTTTAAAGCCTTTGCAAACGTGAGTAAATATTCAGATCTGAGACTTTTCATGGCAATACCTTTTGTCCAGAAACCCTACAACTTGTCTGGAATTTGAGCTCTGTCTTGATTTTTAAGTCAAAGATCTAGATTCTTATCCTCTGCACGTGCTCTTTGTGATTGTATATTACATACTGTGAAAATTTGTACACGTATTTGTAAAATAGGATGTTTATGTGACTGTATTGCTTGGAATAAACCTCTGTGAAATATTGAACAATTGTTTATACAACTTCACATACTCTATATTTTTCAGATTTGTCTTTTGTATGCTGATATAAGAATTATTAATAGTTGTATATATTTCTAAAGTGTCCTGTGTGATCTGCATGCATTGATTCTTCATCCAATTTTTTGATCACAACTTCTTCAAAATTTGAATTTGAAGTTTTTAATGGTAAATGAGATTTTAGTCTCTAGCACCAGAAAATGTAAGCACTTTTACTTCAAAAAAAATGTGCAAAGGCCATTGATAAGTCATGGCCAACTGATCTTGAATCTGGTAAAGTGACTGAACAAGTTGAAATTACATGGAGCTCTATTTTTCCATATTTGTCTAGCAATTTACTTAGAGAAATTGGTGAAACAAAGACTACTGCTGAATTGTGGAAAAAAATTAGAACCTATTTATTTAAATAAAACCATTCCTAATAAGGTATATCTTTTGGAACAATTCTATGGTTTTAAACTGGACCCATCTCTTGATCTTGAGTCTAATATTGATAGATTCAGCAGATTATCTCGTGACCCAGCTAACTGTGATGAGAAACTCTCAAAAGATCAGCTGGCTATGGTGTTATTAAATTCAATTGGTGATAAGTATAAAGATGTAAAAATGTTACTGAATATGGTAGGGAAACTCAAACTACTGATGTGATTATTAATGCCTTAAGAAATAAGAAATTAGAGCTTAAATCTGAAAGAAAAGAATATGTTAGTTGGATGAATTTGATGGTTAGGTCTAAATTTAATCCTAAGAATGTTAATGTCAATAGGAAATTTGGACATAGGAAAGTAGGCACAAGAAGAAGGGAAATCTAAATGATAAAATGAAAGTAAAAGGTAAAAAATATTTTAACCGTCAAATAGAAGGTCATTTTATCAAAATTGCCCTAAAAGACTTAGTGATAACATAAATAAGTCTAAAATTGATGGTGATCCAGCTTTAGTCTGTAATAATAAGGTCAATGTTGATGAAATTTATATTGTTGTAAATTATAAACCTAGTCAAGAATGGATTCTTGACTCAGGATGCACCTTCCATATGTGTCCTAACAGAGATTGGTTTACTGATTTTGAAAAGGTAAATGGTGGTCAAGTTTTAATAGGTAATCATATGACATGTCAAGTGACTGGAATATAAACTATCACTTTAAGAGTAAAGGTTAATTATCTACTAGTCTTAGAAAAGACTAAGTATGTTCCTAATTTTCAAAGAAATGTGATCTCTTTAGGTGTATTAGATGACCTCAAGTATGACCCACACTAAAATCTTGAGGGACCCACACTTGATTGTTGAAGCTCCCAAGAGACATGAACTTTACATTTTGCAAACTCAAAACTTATTTGATTCTA